CCATCAGCCTGATGAGCCTCTCCATCTACAAAAGGCTGCAGCCCAGTGTGACTCATCGCTGGAGCATATCACCTCTCATGGTATAGTACTGTTGAGCTAGATATGTCTAGGTGAAAAGAATTTGTTCACCTGTGTTCTCTTTTCCGGTTTCCTGATTCCTCGTGTTTTTGGATCTCCTCGTGACCTGATCTGGATCCCTTGGCCTGTCAGGTATTCCTCGTGCCATTTTTGCCTCCAGTTGCCAGCCTTCCTCGTTCCCTTGGACCCTTGTTGGATTCCCCTCTGCTGTTCACTCCTTAGACTGAAGGACCAGCTCCCCTCCTTCGGGTTTGGACTGTAAGGACAAAAGAACCTCTTTCAAACAAACCACTCAGGTCTTCCCCTCTGGACCAACATTAACCTGTCGTCCCTCTTTCCAGGAGTTGCTGAGAACCAACGTGTGGATGTTCACTGTAAATAATAAACACTGTTCTTTTTGTACTTCCCCTGTGTCTGCCTCGTTCTGGGTCTCATACCATCTGGGTTCCCCGCGTAATCGTAACAGTTTTCCTCAGCCTGAGTGTTCGGAAGATTTGCCTATAACCATAGACCGGAGACAGTTCATTTGGGTTTTGTCCATCACAATACTCATCATAAACTACATCAAGTACATTAGTACCAATGAGGACTGGCAGATCACAGTTTGAATCCACATCTGGGACAACTAAAGCCAAGGTAGAGACTTCAGGCTCTGGTTTAACAAAGTCTCTGGGGAACTTTAAGCTTAGCTCTACATAGCCCAAATATGGAACATTCTGACCGTTGGCGGCTTCAACATCTCTTGGTGGCTTCAACATCTCGACATGAGATAGGGTGAATGGGATGTTCCAACAAGTTTGCATGATAGAAAGATGAAGACACAGTGGTCACCTGGGACCCAGAGTCCAAGAGACAGTTACACAGGACTCCTGCTACTGTGACGTTAGCTGTGCATTTTTGACCTACAAGGCCTTTTGGTAGCGGTGTTTGGTTGTTTTCAGTAGTGTGAGAATAAATGAGTGGCTTAGTGCGTTCTAAACTGTGGGGTGGCTGTGGCTGAGTGGTTAGAAAAAGCAGTCGTCCTCCAATGTGAGAGTTGGGGGTTCGAATCCACTAGCAGTCACATGCTGAAGTGTCCCTGGGCAAGACACTGTAGCCCTCATTGCTTCTGATGTGTGTCCCATCAGTGTATGAATGTGATCTAAAGCACCGATTAGTCTCATTAGAATGATTTGTTCAATTAGCTTTGTAGAGATCTAGTAGAGTGCTGTATGAATGGGTAAATGAGGACAAAAATTGTAGTGTAAAGCACTTTGAGTATCTTGAAATAAGATAGAAAGGCGCTATACAAGTACAGTCCATTTACCATTTAAACCTGGGGTGGGACACTCTATAATACTTTCAGCCCCTGTATGTCCTTTGACAGCTGTCAGGGACTCTGCTGCCAGGGATTCAGCCCAACCCTGGACCCCCCACTAATTACAGGACACCAAATGACTTTAAAAACATGTCAGGACTTCATTTTCTGCATGTAAACGCACGTAGCCTTCTGAGAAAACTTGATGCCTTGAAAATTCTGGTCAGTTCTTCTGGGGCAGATGTAATCTTCATCTCTGAAACCTGGCTCAACAAATCTGTACTGAATAATGACCTGGTAATCAATGGATTTAACATCTATCACTGTGATCGTCAAAAAATGGGGGGTGGAGTCGCCATTTACATCAGAAATTCTCTGGTTTCTAGTCTTGTGTCTTCTAAAACAATTCCAAACCAAATTGATGCCTTAGCTGTAAACATCACTTTGAATGGAGGACAGATCTTATCTGTAGTGGGTTGTTATCGTCCCCCTTCAGCAACACCTGAGGATAGAATTCCTTGGAAATTTAAAATTCAAAGAGATTTTTTTGGCAGGAGATTTCAACATTGACTGGGATAAGTCAACCCCCCTCTGTGATCAATTCAAGGAATGTTGCCTGTCTCTCAATCCAACCCAACTGATCGACTCTCCCACTAGACCAAACAAAAACCGTCTTGAAAAGTCTTCCATCTTAGACCTGTTTCTAACTAATATGCCTCACAAATTCCCTGGTACAGGTGTATTCGCTAACATTTCGAGTGATCATTGTGTGACAGCGACTCTCAGAGATATTAAACTTACACCTTCTAAGCCCAGATTAATTCAAAAAAGGGATCTGAAACATTTTTGTGAACAGTCATTCCTCTGGGATCTGTCTCACTTTGACTGGTATCGTATTCTATTAACTGACAACGTGAACTCCGCTTGGAACTATTTTCATAATAGTTTCATTTATTTTGTGAACAAACATGCTCCTTTTCGTCAGTTCAGAATAAAGGGACGAGACGGCCCCTGGTTTACTCCAGAGCTAGCTGACCTCCTGCACAGGCGAGATCATCTTTGGGCTGCAGCGAGAAAATCTGACTCAGACACTGATTGGTTGAGTTTTCGACAGATGAGGAATAAATGCACAACTGCTGTCAAAGCAGCAAAACAACAATTTCTTATCTCAGACCTCCAAAAATCTAAAATGACCCTAACAGATTCTGGAAAACCATCAAATCTCTCTCAGGCAGCCCCCAATCGTCTGACCTCCCATCACAACTTCTCGTTAACTCTGTTCCTGTGTCAAATAAGCACGAGATCCTGAACTGTTTCAACAAACATTTTGTCGCTTCTAGTTCTTTATTTGACACAGTTACTAATGGAAAATCAGCCACTTCACTTAATAACCAAACTTCTACAAATCAAATCCCTCCTTCAAGTCAATCCTCAGTTAATCACACCTTCTCTTTTTCTCCATTCTCAGTCAGTGAGGTCAATAAACTGTTAAAAGATCTTGATCCTAAAAAATCTGCAGGTCCAGATGAACTTACACCTTATTTCTTAAGGCTGGCTGCTCATATCATCACAGTCCCTGTGACCCACATCTTCAATCTCTCCATAAGACAAAACTCCATCCCAGACACTTGGAAAACAGCCTTTGTTCTTCCTTTGCTGAAGGGAGGTGACCCCCCCTCACTGAACAACTATCGACCAATCTCTAAACTCTGCATTTTAGCCAAGGTTCTAGAAAAACTGATAAACTCTCAAATCAAAAATTACCTGGACTCATTTAACATCTTACCTCGCCTTCAGTCTGGTTTTAGGAAACAACACAACACAACGACTGCTTCACTGAAGGTTCTTAATGAAATTGTTGAAGCACTAGATGCTAAGGATTATTGTGCTGCACTTTTCTTACACCTGTCTAAAGTTTTTACACTGTGGATCAGAACATCTTGTGTCATAAGCTCTCAGAAATTGGTTTTTCAGAACACACCATTGGTTGGTTCTCTATCTCTCAGATCGGAGGCAATGTGTTCAACATAATGGTACTTCCTCCAGTTATTTAGCAGTCAACAATGGTGTACCACAAGGCTCAGTCTTAGGAACCACCCTCTTTACAATCTACATACGTAATGTAGGTAAAAATATCCCTGATGCATCCATACATTTCTATGGTGATGACACAGTTGTTTATTGTCGAGCTAAAACTGTTGCTAAGGCTTTCCAGCTTTTGAAATCTGCATTCAACATCATCCAGTCAGATTTGTTCCACCTCAAACTTGTCCTAAATGCCGACAAAACCAAAGGGATGCTTTTTTCAAATAGGAAGTTGGTCCCAGCAGTTCTTCCTTTGATTTTATCCTCAAATGGTGTCCTGATTGAATTTGTTGATTCCTATAAATATTTGGGTATCTTGGTCGACTCACATCTCTCTTTTAAGCTCCATGTGGAAAACTTGGTAAAGAAACTTAAAGTTAAACTGGGTTTCTTTTTCAGAAACAAATCCTGTCTAACCCTGAATGCTAGAAAACACCTTGTATCTGTGACTTTCCTTCCCTCAATTGATTATGGTGATATTATTTACATGAACGCTCCTACAAGAACCCTGCAGATGTTGGATGCTGCAGATGTTGGATGCTGCAGATGTTGGATGCTGTCTATCATGGTGCACTAAGATTCATAACTGGCTGTGATTATCGTACCCACCACTGCACCCAGTATTCACTGGTTAACTGGACATCATTAACTTCACGCAGACTCTCTCACTGGTACATTTTCATCTTTAAATCACTTCCTGGTCTGCTGCCTTCATACATCTCCTCCTACATGTCTCTGCGTGAGTGCAGCTACGGAGTGCGCTCTCAGGACATTATTACCTGCAGTGTTCCCTCAATGAGGACTGAACTTGGCAAAAGGGCCTTCTCCTATTCTGCTCCTGTTTCCTGGAATATCTTACAAAAAGATTTGAAGCTCTCGACCTTGACCTCTCTAAGTGTCTTTAAGAATCTGTTGGACACCTGGCAGGGTCCAATGCAGACATGTTCCTGTTGTTAGTTTTCTACATTTGTCTTGGAATCTAGCTGTTTTTTTGTTTTGTTACCTTTTCCTTTTAGCCATCCTATTTGTTTAAAAAAAACAAAAAAAAACTGTAGTATGCTTTTTTATAACTGTTTATTGTTGTTGCTGTTGTCCATTGTTGTCATCTTTCTTTGTTGAAATCAGGTCTCTCTTGTAAATGAGTCCTCGAGGCTCAATGGGATTTACCTGTAGAAATAAAGGTTGATTGATTGATTTGTGCCGGGGGACTGGATCTTTGGGATGGACCCATCTTTGTGTAATGTAAAATACCTGTAATGTATTAAACAGGGGCGGATGCCTCCGTGTTCAATTGTCTTAGACTTAGTTTGCTGCAGCTCCTTAAACTGATGAAGTGTTGGCTTAAAGACTAATCGTTTCAACAGGTTATTTATTTATTTATTTTTTAATCCGTCCAGAGGACCTGACTTAACGTTGTTAGATTTTTCAACCTGGATTATTGAGCATGTATCAGGATATTCGCGCGAGCTAGTTTGCTGCCACGACCCCTGAAGATGGGAGCAGCCGAATGAAGAAGAAAAGTGTGATGACGTAATCTCACCATGGGATGGTGCATTTAGAGCTGTGTCTTCTGTCTGCAAGCTCCTGGACTTTGTGAATTCTCTCTGCTTGGATCTGATATAAAGTTTTTCGGCTCGGCAGTCCAACGTCGTACATCCCTTTCGGATACGGAACTCCGAGTCGGGTCCCCTGACCTCCAGCCAGGAGCAGAACTGCGACCCGGTTCTTGGAAATCTGCAACAATCCTGTTTGGATGAAGATGAAACAAACACCAGACAGGAATTTAATCGGACCTGTCTTTCGAACCTCCTGCTCCACCCAATGTTCCCTCCAAGCTATGCATCTGCATAATTGCGCACTGCTCACACATTCTCTGTGCACAAGAACATCTATGCTGCACAGTTGTGAACTGGCCACAAGGTTATCTCCCATTTTATAATAAACTGTCAGCCTGAGCGCAGCGGTCTGTACAGTGCAGCCATCTGATGCGTGCAAAATGGGGGAAGGAAACTCTCCCTCCGGTCAAAACAGACCTGTATCACATGATTTGTCACGTGATGTGTATCCAGCCAATCAGTGTCTTCTGGAGTTTCAGCTCTGAGTTCAAAGAAGCTAAGTGCTTCTGTGCTTGCTCAGCATGGGAGACTGCAACGAAGCCAAGATTCAACTTGTCTGCTGGATTCCTTAGATAGAGAACTTTATTAATTGGCTTTTATGCGAATGTTCCTGTAAAGTGCCCTGAGACAACTTTGTTGTGATATGGCACTATTTAAATAAACTGAATTGAATTGAAATAGCTACAAGAAACAGTGACTTCTTGCACTTTTCCAAGCTTTGTTACTGCATATTTCATCACATACCGAGAAATAATATGTGGCATTGTGGATTTATCACAGAAGTTTACGGTCGTACGACATCAAACAAAGGCAGTAAGTAAGCCAATCCCACGACTTGTAGCCATTTTTATCATGCTAAGTGTTAGCAAACAGTAGTGCTCGATGGAAATCTGGATGGTCAAAGGAAACGTTTACATGACAGTGGTGAGATCAGATATTCTTTGTGGTCTGGAGACTGTGGCATTGACAAAAGGACAGGAGAAAGAACTGGAAGTGGCAGAAATGACGATACTGAGGTTATTAGGAGTTACAAGGATGGATAAGATTAGGAACAAAATCATCAGAGGTACAGCACAGAATACAAGGATTTTTATTGTCATTCACATCACGTGGTACATGAGGTGGAACGAAACCATGTACACAGGGTCCCAGTTACATCCAACAAAAATACAAATTGTAAAGAAAAACATTAGTAAGATCTGAGTCATGAACTAAGAATATACTACATTCACTAAAACTGAGAATATACAAGACTAAGAATACACTAAGCACTAATAGTACAAAAACAATGCACCCAAACAACAGCAGCACGAACATGAGTCCGTATGAGCAGATGAGGACCAATGAACACAGCAACATGAAATAATCAGCAGCATGAGATCAGCATCATGGATAGTCAGCAGCACATACCAACAACCAAGTGACATTACAGCGACTTTCAGTTTTTTGTTGTTTATTTTCCACAGTAATTTTCAGTGATTTTTCCTGTTAAGAGATTCATGAGTCTAACAGCCTTAGGGTAGAAGCTGTTCCTCAGCCTGGTGGTTCTGCACTTAATGCTCCTCAACCGTCTGCCTGAGGGGAGCGGGGAAAAAAGTATGTGTGCTGGGTGAGTGTGGTCCTTCATGATGCAGGTGGCTCTCTTCCTGCATCTGGAGGTGTAGATGTCTGTGATGGTGGGGAGGCTGACTCCAACAGACACCACAGGTTGAACAACTGGGAGATAAAGTTAGAGACGCCAGACTGAGATGGTTTGGACATGTCCAGAGGAGGGACAGTGGGTATATTGGTAGAAGGATGAAGGAGAAGGTAGAAGGAGAAATGCAGCTTCCAGGAAAAAGAAAAAGAGGAGATTTTTTTCTCCCATTTACTCTTTATTTATCCAGGTAGTCTCACTGAGCCACGAGAACTCATTTTCAAGAGAGACCTGTTTAGGGAGCAGATGGTGGGGGTTAAGGACCTTGCTCATGGGCCCAGAGTGGGGCAAATGAGGGTGGAGGCAGGTGTGGGTGTTCCACCTTTTCCACCCACATTTTAATGTTGACGGTACCGAGAGGTGAACCTGCGACTTTCCAATCACAGGACCATCTTCTAACCTCTTGCACCACCACTCCCCCATATATGGATGCAGTTAGAGAGGACATGGAGGTAGTTGAGTGAGGACAGAGAGAGATGGAGGAGGATGACTCGATGTGGAGACCCCTGAAGAGGGAAAAGCTGAAAGAAGAAGTTTAATAGGTTGTGTAATATAACATTTACTCTTACATACTGAATTTCACCGAGTTCTTGCCCTGTGTGTCGCTCTGCAGCACAAAAACATCCACTGCAGTAACTATTTTAAGTTATTAGCAGCTTAGATTTTTTTCTGTCTTCTTTGCCTTAATGTTGGTCGATAAGAAATAAACGCCTCAGGTGAGCTTCACTACCTCCACCATTACAGCTATCTTTGTTTGTTCGAGGTTAGCTCACCCTGAGTTACATTTCTTCATGGGTGAAGCGATCTTACTGTTCACGTAAAATATTTGATGTTCTTATAGAAACAATTCCTGAATGTTGTTCATACTGTGTTAATGCTACATGTTTGTCTCTTGACCTTACAACTGGGTAATGTTACAGTAGATCTAGCCCATTGTAGTGAACTCGGCCTCCGACCAAAACCTGTCTCTGAGGACCTTCATGGGACAGGAACTGTTATTTCATTGATTTGAATCGAAAAATACAAATTAGCTCATCCAGAGACTGTCTAATTATATCCTGAATTAATCAATTGAAAGAACACTCTTCTTTTTATGTTATCATTACTATTTTACAATATCTTGATAATCAAAAGTGTGTTTAGTTCAAACCATTTTTAAATGTTGAAGTGAACCACTCATTTAAATCAACTGTGAAACAGTATTAATGATTTTTTTAAACCTCATTTAAATTAGAAATCAAGTTAAATGTATATTTACAAAGTAATTATGCATTTTGATCTTCTGTCTAAATGAGAAGTCAGTGATGTCGGTCGAAAGTCAGAGACAGTCAGAAAAGAAGTTATTAGAACGAACTGTACTGTTTTTAAACCTAGCAGACGGTAAATAATAACTGCCACTGGCATCTGCGTTCCTCTCACTTCTTCAAAACATTTCTCTGTTTGTACTAAACGTTCCTAAACATTCCTGAACCCTCTCTTAACTTTTAATAACCCTCTGACATCACTAGAACCACCCCCTGTTGGTTGTTTCAACCAATCAGGAAGTACTAAGTGACCGGAAGTGAGGACTCTTTAAAAAGTCCACACTTCCTGGAACTATTCAGTCTTGTAGTCTTCTGAGTCTTGGACCAATCTTGGAAGAAGTCAGACTCAGTCTTCTCGACTCTTCAGTCTTTGATGGAGTCTTCTCAAGCCTTCTGGAGTATTCCACTTCTGAGTGGGATCTCTGACGGAGACACAGCGCCTTGCTGTGAACTCAACCGGGCGTAACACCTACAACTTCAAAGGAAGCGTGTCTGTTTAACGGAGTAAACCACACAACTTCTGACGATGCCCAGCCACCCTGACCGGAGACGCTGTAAAAGGATCGTACTAATGGACTTCTGTTCCGGAGTGGAGGTATCCTCCGTCTAAGGTAACGAAGTCTCTGCACGTCCTGAAGTGTACCGGAGGTTTAAGCTGGTGTTGAAAGAAGCGTGCTAATTCTGGTCAATCCAAACATACACCTCCCTTCATCCATCTCCTTTAAACTTCTCCATTCCTTCCTTTAAACTCTTCTATTTTGCCAGTAATCTAGATGCCTTCAGAAATGTTCTGTTGTCTTGTTAGTAAAGCGTGCCAAGTTTTTATTAATCAGAACCAGATCAACAAATCCTTGTGTACATGTTTTGATGTGTTAAATTTTGATTCTGTTAAATAAATGACCGCATTTATTCTGATGGGTCAAACAAAATAACATCTCATGCCACTGATTAAACAATGAACACAGTTATCTCGTCACATGGCATTAATTTAACTCGAAAAAGAAAGAACCCATTGTAAATTAATTAATTAGTAGTGAAGGTACAGCAAAGCTGTCCGTTGACATACTACTACATTCAGTGGCCCGTATGTCCACAGTTAAGCTGACCCCCACCTCTACTACACCATTATTGGAGTTTTAATTAAGTATTTTAAGCTACTAATAAACATGATGGATGATGATCATATTGCTTTATGCTAGGCCAATAATAGTAAGAAGGAGTGATTATTATCATTGTTTCATACTGGCTAGTGATTTTTTTATTTCCCCCTAAAACTTAACTTAGGCTACACTATGTTTCTTAGACTGTGACTAGGACGCGTGAGAGAAGCAGAGTGTGCTCTTTTCACACAAGGAGAGCTGTTGGTCAGGCAGGTCTTGTGCCAATAACTCTAAAATACTTAATGAATCAAGTGTTAACTGGTAGGTAAAAGTAGATGTTAAACAACCCGTTAAAATACACCAGAATGCAGGAAATGGCATCTACTTTATTCAAAGTTTTCTGGGGGAGGACTCCCAGACCCCACCCTACCAATGTGCCCCCCCCCCCCCCCCTCCCCCCCCCCCCCCCCCCCCCCCC